GGTGGGCGACGTCCCCGCAGGCTCTGGTTGTTAGCTCGCCACCGTCGCCTCTCCTGCTAATTCCCCCACGTATTCACCTCGTCTTCACAGGCAATTTCCCCCATTGAAGTGTCAGCGGATAATTGAGCGCGCCGGTGACCTTGTTAGGGAGCTGGGCTCGGCGCTGCGCCGGGGAGGCAGCCGGTGCGGGGCCGTGCGTCCCCAGGCACGGTGTGCGCAGGGTGCCCGGGCTCAGGGGAACGCCTGTCACCCGTGTGCCGCGTGTCTGCAACATCATGCGTTTGCACGAGGCTGTGGGGACACGTGTGCCATCCCCTCGGGGCAGAACATCAGTGCTGTTTAGGCTGGAGCGCATCCTGTGGGTTTGGGTACTTCTATCCCTGTGTCACCTCCCCTTGATGAGGAGCTCAGCCAGGGGAATGCGCCATCCTGGACCGGGACCAAGAAAAAGCACACAACGTCCATACAGACGTCTCCATCACTTGGGTTCATGGGGTGTTCTGAGGCTTTGTCTCTGTTCACGGCGGGGCTGGGTCGTCCGTTCTCCTCCCGGCAGCACCGTGTGCCTGATGTCCCTGTTGAGGTGGCCCTCGTGATGGGAGCTGATGTTTTCCAGGGTCAGGGACACAGCCTTGCTCCGTGCTGCCTTGCTGGTGGCCATGGGTTGTGCCTTTGCGTGGTCGGGGCTGATCCCGGCAGGAGCTGGTGCCAGCAGGGGCTGGCTCTCCCCATGAGCTGGCTCAGCCCCGCTCCCCTTCTCTCGGCAGAAACACGGGATCCCGGTGCCTGTGACGCCCCAGACGCCCTGGAGCATGGATGAAAACCTCATGCACATCAGGTGAGAGGCCAGGTGGGCATGGAGATCCCATGGGTTGAGGACCCAGAGCCTTGGGCCCCAATCCTCCCATCCTGCATGGCCAGGACAGCCAGAGTCCCAGGCTGCCTCACCACGTGCTGGCCAAGGGTTGACCCCAAAATCCCCAGCCTCCCTTTGTACCCAGTTGTCCACGTCCCACATGGCAGCATCCATCTCCCAAGCCTGGTGCTCCTTGCAGGTTTGCTTCTAAAAGCCCCTGGAGATCCATAACACGTATTTACCCTCATCCTCACGGGGTGGTGGGAGTCGGGGGGGTTGTCCCGGTGGGTTTTGGAGTTGCAAGTTGCAGGTGCTGCAGTGACTTCTCTCTCCTTCCCTGCCTGCCGCAGCTACGAAGCCGGGATCCTGGAGAACCCCAAGGTAATCCATCCCGGCCGCCCGGCCAGCATGGCAGCCACAGGGCCGAGGGCCGTCTCGTGTATTTGCAGCCTAATTGGAAATTTCAGGGGACAATGTCACGGGGCAGCAATAAAGGAGCGATTAGACAGATGAGGCGCTGGTGGGTGAGCGGGGCTGGTGGCGGGTGACGGAGTTCCAGGCTGGCCCCTGCGGCTCAGGTCCCCTGCCCCTGCCTGCAGCTCGCCCAGCCCCCCTGCCTTTCCCATCCCCACTGGCAGGGGGGGAAAACGGGGTAAAACCTCCCCTTGTGTGGGGTGGTGATTTTGGAGACCCCAAGGGCACCCGTGGGACCACCGGCTCCTGGGCAGCTCTGGCTGCTGACGGGACCTTTCTCCTATGGAGAAAGGCTGAGGGACTTGGGTCTCTTTAGTCTAGAGAAAAGAAGATTGAGGGGGGATCTTATTAATACTTACAAATACTTAACGGGAGGATGCCAGGGGGATGGGAGCAGTCTTTTTTCAGTGGCGCCCAGTGATAGGACGAGGGGTAATGGGCATAAACTTGAACATAGGAAGTTCCATCTTAACATGAGAAGAAACTTCTTTACTTTGAGGGTAGTGGAGCACTGGAACAGGCTGCCCAGAGAGGTGGTGGAGTCTCCCACTCTGGAGACATTCAAACCCCGCCTGGACGCCGTCCTGTGCAACGTGCTGTAGGTGACCCTGCTCTGGCAGGGGGGTTGGACTAGATGATCTCCAGAGGTCCCTTCCAACCCTGACCATTCTGTGATTCTGTGACCAAGAGCCCCGTGGCGGTGGGTGCTGCGGCGCTGCCGGTGAGCGCGGCGCATCGCTGCGGAGGCAGTCCGGCTCCGGCTACCTCCGAATAGTGCTCGCGGTCCGGCTGCCTGTTGGCCCCTGCCTTGCACTGTTCATGCTCCAGCGGGTTGCGACGCTCGGGCAGCTACTTAAACTATCCATCAGCGCTAATTAGACAATCCGGGGAGAGGAGGGGGGAGGCAGGCGGAGAGGGAGAGGAGCCGGCTGGAGCTCAGCGCCAGCGGCCGGCTCGCTGCGGCTGGGCCGGCGCGTGTCTCCGGCGGGGCGTGAGGAAGAGGAAGGTGGTGAAGGGATCCCGCTCCCCCTTTCGGTGCCATCCGCAGGGGTGTCTGCGGGTCAGGCTATGCAAAACCAGGCCCTCGGGGGGGGTCTCCTCCTCCGGGAGAGGGGTTGGCACGGGGAAGGGGTTTCATGCCTCTGGCTGGAGCTGGCAAGGGACAGACCCGCACCCTCCCCGGTGAACCCATCCTGACCCACTGCTCCGCACCCAGCACCTCTCCCCTCAGGGAACATCCCCGCTCCCAAAGCTCTGCCAAACCCGCTTCCTTCTCAAAACCAGCTCGGAAAATGGGGTCGGTTTAGCAGGAAACAGGACCAGTGCGCTGACCCCATCCCTCAGCATCCTCCGCTCGGGCACCTCTCCCTCCGTCGGCACCAGGCGGTGGCTTCCCGGAGCGCGGTGTCACCACTGTCCCTTTCCCCGGCCTGGGAAGCGGCACCGGGCACCGGGGCGGCCACGGCGGGATCCGGGGTGCCGGGCACGGCGGGCTCCCCTCCCCAAACCCCCGGGACCTGCCAAACGCAGGGATTTGAAAGCAGATGGTTGAGCTATTTTCTGCCTCTGTGAGGCCCGATTGAAGGGCAATGAGGCAGCTAATGCGGAGAAAGATAGAAATTTACTTGCTTTAACTTCATATGGCACTCTGAAAGAGTTCATTCAGTCCCGGGCACAACAATATCAGCCGGATGAATAAACCATTTGCGGCATCGATAGCTCTGCATCATGGTTTACTTCATGGACCATTTGCTTCCAATTTCTTCTCTTCTTGCCCCGTTTTTCTTGCTTCTTTCTTCCCCCCTCCCGCTCTCCCTTTCCACACACTCTTCCTTTTTTTTTCCCCCCTCCTCTTTTTTTCCTTTTTTTTTTTTTTCTTTCCCCTCTCTCCCCTTTAAAGATGACATTGCAGGACTAGCCCCCCTGCGGGGAAGGATAAATAGGAGGCATTGATACACTGCAACAAACTATTTGTCATTTGAACTGTGCTTTTAGGAGAGAGAATAAAAAGAGGACAGACTCGCACCGTAATGATGGAATGCAAGCCAAATGTCACTTTTATTTCTATTTAGTTATTTTATTTAATAGGGGTTTTCATAGTTGGCTTGGAAAATTGGAAACTACCTGACTTTGACTTCCAATGTTTAGTAAAGAGTTTTTAATACTTTCAGGTATTTTTTTCCCTCCCGCCCCTTCGTCTTTCCTTTTGAACTCAAAGTTTTTCATCATCTCTCGCGGGTTCATCTAGTTAATAAGTGTGATCAGGGCTAGGAAAGGCCAGACGATGTAAAATTGAAATCCGCAGCCCGTGTAATTTGTGTGTGCGCGCGCGTGGGGGGCACGGGGGAGACACGCCTGCCAGCGCCTCT